GGCGATCCCAGCCCCCGGGGAAGGGGAAGAAGGCGGCGGCAGCCCGGCCCCCTCCCGCCGTCGCCCCGCTGGGAGTCCCGGCCACTGTCCCCGCCTGACAACCCGCACGGGAAGGAAGAAGCCCCGGGACTCACGTCGCTCTCCACCTCGATGTCATCGTTATCGCTCATTTCCTACGGCCCAGGGAGCGGCCACTGCAGCGGCGACGGGGAGGGGGAGGGGCGGAGGGGAGGGGGAAGTCACCGACAACAACAAGCCGAATGCCCCCACACACACTCTCACTCACTCACTCGCTCTCTCACTCACACACGCACACACACACACGCACACACAACACGGGCGAGAACCACCTCCTCACTGCAGCACCGGATCAACGGCGGCACGCACGCCCGATCTGCCCCCCGCCACGTGACCGAGCTCGCCGCGCCTGGGCAGCCGAGACTTGTAGTCCTCGTCCCTCTGACTGGCGGCCCGGTGAGCGCCAGAAAAACTACAAGTCCCATAAGGGACCGCACCCAGTCACCGCCTGCCGGGCTTGTTGACGAAGCCTAGAGCGCCTGCGCATCCAGGAGGGGGCGGAGGGAAATGGCGCGGTGCCTGCTGGGAGACGTAGTCCGCAGACCGCGAGTTGTCAGGAGGTTTTCCTCCCGAGGCAGCAGAGAGGCTGCCGGGAAGACAGGACACGTGGAGGGAGCTGGGCTCCTGGAGCCGGCCGCCGCCTGAGTTCTAGGCGCTGGGCCCAGGGGACTGGGTGGAGGCTCTTGGGGAGAAAGCGGCTCCCTAAATAACGCTGTCTCTCCTTGGCGCGACTGGTCTTACTTTGACTTTTTGATGCTTGGGTCGCTCCGCTTTGCGCCCTGGGGCGTAACCCGCCTGGGAGAGAACCATGCTGCTGCTGACTAGGGGGCGCGGCTCGGGATGCCCACGCGAACCATGGGCATCTGGTTGTGGAGGGTCAGTAGGAAGTGTTAAGTGGCGTTGCAGGACGTGGTAGAGGACCGACCTCGCGGTGGGTCTGCTTTCATATGTCCGCGAGTGACCATCCTAGCTACTCGGTTACTCACGTGAGGCTCATAGATTACCAGGACCTCATATACGTGGAAATAAAAGCCCTTTCGGAGTTTGCTGTAGCCTGTGCAGTTTAGGGAGTGCCCCAGTTCAGAGAACCGTAATTAAGGGTTGCAAGAAAGATCAAAACGAGAAATTTGCACTGCTCCCTATCCAGTTAAAATCAATCATATTTATTTACTATGGCATGAGGTGCAGTTCCATCCATCCCACCAATATTTACTGAGCAACTAACATGGGGCAGCATAGGAATGGCATCATATATAAGACTGGAAATTGCCCCTGTTTTCATGAAACTCACAGCTGTGGACTAAAAAGTGAGATTGCCCTGCCGCCATTTTTGGGAGTGTGCATCAAATCCCACAGGAATGGAAAACAATAACAAAGACACTTTCCAAAGACAGATAAACTGCCCAGCAATATGGCACATGCCTGCAATCCAAGCGACTCAGGAGGCTGAGGCAGGGGGATCACAAAGTTCAAGGCCAGCCTGGGCAACTTGGTAGACTTTGTTTCAATAAATAAGTAAATAAGGTGGGGGGGGGCTTGGGATGAAGTTCAGTGTTAGAGCGCTTCTGGGTTCAATCACCAGTAATGGGAGAAAAAAAATAACAAAGGTAAACTAACCAACTACTCTTGCATCTGGTCTCCAAAATGAATGAAATTAGTTTTTTCCCCATGAATTATTGCTCCCTGAATGAAAATCATTTTATCTCTCACTTTTGAATTGGAAATTTGAGGTTTTAGCATATAAGCCTTTGTGACATATATCCCTGTGTCTGTAGATAGTTCTTGCCAAAGAGACAAATGTAAATGTGGTAGACTTTCCTTTTTTCCCTTAAATATGTTTTGTTTATTGCTTAGTGATCCAGCTCTACTGATGTCTGCAGTCTTTGCAAATGAATTTATCTTTTCTAAATAAATGTTTTGTCTGCTAGTGTTGGGGAGATGGTCATAAGAAGACCATTGTGTAATAAGAGAGGTGTTGGGCTAGAAGGGAGACAGGGATGACACATTTTGGGTAAGTCAGGACTAACTAATGATTACAACAAACAATGGTTGGATAGCTGCTATGTGCAAAGCACAAACCCCTAGTTGAATTTACCTGGAGGCTTAAAAATTCCCACACTACCCAGCATGGTGGTATACCCTGTAGTTCCAATTACTCAGGAGGCTGAGGCAGGAGAATCTCTCAAATATGAGGGCAGCCTGCCTTCAAACTTTAAGCAAAAGTTTTTGTCTTTTGTTTGTTTGTTTATTTTGTGTTTGTGCTAGGGATTGAACCCAGGGCCTTGGGCATGCAAGGCAAGCACTCTACCAACTGAATTGTATCCCCAGCCCTAAACAATTTTTGAAGGGGGACTGGGAACATGGTTCAATAGTAGACCATTTTTCTAGCATATGGAAGGCACTGGGTTCACTACCCACTGAGCCGGGGATGGGGTTGTGTTCTCTCACCCAGGCCACAACCCAGATCAATTAATCAATCAGTCTGGGAGTGAGAACCAATCAGCCTTAGTTTATAAACCATTTCAGGTGATTTCACTGTGTACCCAAGACTGAAAAGTACAACTATAGAGGATGCCAAAATAAATAAGATAGTCTTGGGGCTGGGGTTGTAGCTCAGTGGTAGAGTGCTTCTTGCCTTGCCCACATGAGGCATTGGATTCGGTCCTCAGCACCACATAAAATAAATAAATAAGTAAAGTAAAGATATTGTGTCCATGTCCAACTAAAAAATAAAAAATAAATGGGATAGCCTTTCACTGAATTAAAAGAATAGATTTTATGGTACATCAATAATTATTATATTTCAATAAAGTTGTTACAGAAGAAAAATAATCTTTGCTCATGCAGAATCTAAAACCTGACAAGATGTAAACACAATGCAGTGAAGACAGACAATGTGTCAAATAGTATGTATAGGCAACAAACGCTTTAAGAGCTCACAGGTTGGGGGAAAGTGCCAGGTCAAGAGGTGGGGAGAGAAGGTGTTCACTAGGCTGTCAGCTCCACAGGGGCAAGTGCTGTGTCTGCAGAGACCAGGCCAGATTTTACTCACCATGAACCTTCCATTGTGGGAAGGAAGTCTGGTATGCTGAAGTGAGGGAGTAAAGGCTTCCTGGGTGGAGAGACTGGAGATGTTAACATTCTTTCTAGTAAGTGATAGAATATGAATGTAACCAGAAGTTCCCGAAGAGGGGGACCTGGGCTCAGGACAAGTGGAATCTTTGGTATACACAAAGATTCAACACTTACCAAAGACAGATTTATTTAGGAAAATAGTTACACGTTCAAGGGAGAATGTGGGCCATCTCAAGGGAAAAACTCTTAGAGTAAAATAATAATTCACGTTCAAGAGAGAATGCTGGCCATCTTGAGAGTAAGAAGCTCTTGTGGTAAAACAAGGAATAAACATTCAAGGTAGAATGCTGACCATCTCCAGGGGGAGAGATAGCAACTCTTGGGTGTGGGTGTTAATATTTATAGAGGGACAATAGTCAGGGGCTGCACTAGAGGTGGACCCAGGGCAGTTACCCTATTGAGCCACTCCTGCATTGCTCTCCTGTTACTTTTTGCAAGGTCAAGGGCACAGGCCAAGGGTGAGGGCTGAGGACTGGGCAGAGTTGTTCACACATGCTTGTTTTGCATATCAAAGGTTCATGGGTGTTTCCTGCTTTCCAATTGGCTCTTTCATACTGTCTTTGGAGAGTCAGTCTCTCTTTTAGTCTCTCCCAATTCGTATCTCATGAAGACTTGTCAGCCTGGATAAGTAAGTCTGACTGAACAGAAAAAAACACTTCCAGCAATTATAATATGTTTTATTTTCAAGCACTCAAGGAACATTTCTAAGAACTGACCTTGTTGTGAGTCACAAAGCAAATCCTAACAAGTTTTGAAGGACCGTGATCTTAGCAGCTATTGTAGAGTAATAGCAAAAAAATGACCAGGTTTGTGACACCTCACCCCTACTTCTTTGGTTGCCCCTTCTCTGTGCCTACTCGGGTTCCCATTGACTTATTACTGTTTAAATTCCTGGGGTTCTGTGGTTGGCTCTTGACTCTTCTACCCTTTGCCTGGTAGGATCCTTTACCTCCTGAGTCTTTGCCCACCATCTCTCTGCTGGTGATCCAAGACTAAATGTCTCTAACTATATTGTTACATGCAGCTTATTTCTGGACCCACTTATGTGGATTATTCCACTGTCAACTCAAAGTTCAAGGCTTATGGATGAATAAAGAAAAGTAGATTTTTTGGTTTTTGGTACTGGGGATTTAGCCTAGGGGGCATTACAACTGTGCTATATCCCCAGCCCTTTTTTATGTATTATTTTATATCTCACTAAGTTGGTTAGGGCCTTGCTAAATTGCTGAAGTTGGCCTCAAATTTGTGATCCTCCTGCCTCAGTCCCCCAAGTCTCTTGGATTACAGGCCAGCATCACTGTGCCCAGCAGGAAAAGCAGGTTTTGACACAGCATTGGAATGTGAACCATTCATGTAAAATTGAGCATATCTGTATTAGTATGTGTGTAGAGAAATATGTAGAAAAATATTCAGCAAAAATGTTAGTGGTATTTCTTTGGGAAGGACTTTCTAATGACTTTTTTATTTAAGTGTGCAGCATCATTCTTGCCAAAATAGAGGCTATTAAAAGACAACCACTATCTCAATAAGTCTATTATCTTCCCTATGCAGCAAAATTGTCAAGCCATAACCCTTAGGAAGATGGGCAAGTCCTCTTCCTTTGTCAGCTGTGTCAGCTCTGTCACTTGGGGAGCGGGTAACCACTGGGGTCTCCAAAGGAACCAGCTGGCACACTCAAATTAGATAATTTGAAGAGTTTTTCATAAAGAGATTGATTGGGGGCTGAGGATGTTTCTCAGGGGTAGAGCACTTTCCTAGCATACATAAAGCCAAGGTTCAATCCCAAATCCTTCAAAATAATGTGTTAATTTAAATGAATTTTTAAAATGAAGAGGTTGTTGACCAGAGTATGGGCAGGGTATAAAGAAACTAGGAGGGATTGCCCAATTCCGTTGGGACTCTGTTCCTACCTCCAACCCCATAGGGGAAAGGAGACAGAGTGGTGACCAGAACTGGGAAGGAGGGGCTGTGCAGAGAGAGACCTGGGACAAGAGCATAGGCCAAGGGATCCAGAGTATTTGGATCTGGAAAACCAAAAGACAGATCTCTTTCCTCCATTTCTCATGCTTCCAGAGAAGACAGGGAATGTCCAGTTCACTCTGCAGGGAAGGAAAAATATGGGGGTGATAAATCAGGCAAAAATATCTGCCCCCTCCTTTATTTACCCTTAGAGTATAAGGACAGGAGAACTTTCCCTCTACTCTCTGAGGGTTGGACAACTAAGTCTACAAAATACACTGACAGTAGGCAGGCCAAGAGGAGAAAAGGTATACAGGGTGTCACCCAGGGGTGTCACAAGATAGAAAAGTAAGCACCCCAGTGCCCAGTGAGACCTAGCTTATGAATCTTCTTCATAAGGAAAGGGGGACATGGACAATTTAGGGGAGAGTAAACAATTTCTGGGAAAGAGGAAGGGGCTCTCAGCAGAACAGGTGTCAGCCTGTGACAGAGTCTGTCTGGAGTGGTGTCAACCTCCAGTCCCTTTCCTATGGTAGGAGTTTCATCCTTTTTGGTTGACGGAAGTTGGAGGAAGGGATTGATGGCAACTGAGCTCCATTTAGAGGATCTGTCTTTAGGCAGATACAGGGAGTTCAGAGAAGCCCCTCCCTGAATTGGCTGTTCCCTACGTGCCCTCAGGTTGAAATCACCAGCACATCAAGGTGGTATATTTGGGGGCTGGATTTCTGAACTCCTTGGTCAGCTTGGTGACTTTGGAGGAGAAACCCAGTCCTGTCTCTCTCAGCGCAAGAGATGACTTTTTCTGTTCTCCTCTTTTGTAGGGAGTCTGAACCCAGACTGGTGGGGGGCGGGGGGCGGGCAGGGGTGTTAGGGTAATTCGACAAGTGTCAGGGAGGACACACAGGTCAAGCCTTCTCCAATTTAATCTTATTGAAAATGAAACTACTATTTTGGTCTCCTTCTGTTTGACTCAAGTCTCTGCGCTCTGTGCTATATCTCCAGTCCCTCTCTCTCTGAATTGATTCCAAATTCAGGGTAGGAGACCTGAATGTTATTTATCAGCTTTCTTATACCCCAGTGTTCCTCCCTTTCCCACCCATCTCTCTCACCAATTCCACCAGCAAGTCTAGTGATGTTTCAGGCCTTTTATGACCTTATCTCCCATGGCAGGTTCTGCCTCCTTCAGCCCCATATCTCACCTGGCAAATGGCCTCCTAATGAGTCTCCCTGCCTCTAAACCCACTCTTAATCTCTTCTCCATTCTAGAGCTGGTATGATTTTTTAGGAATAAAAGATTTTCACTTTGTCTGGTTTTTTTTTTTTTTTTGGCACTAGGGATTGAGCCCGGGGGTGTTTTACCACTGAGCTACATCTCAGTCCCTTTATTTTTAAAATTTGAAACAGTATTTTCTTAAGTTGCTTAGGGCCTTACTAAGTTGCTGAGGCTGGCCTCAAACTTGTGATCCTCTGCCTCAGCCTCTCCAGTCTCTGGGATTATAGACATAGGCCAACATGTTGGCTATCTTTGCTCTCTTGACTGAACATTTCAATCCCGGTTTCCTTAGGATAGACCTAGCTTCCGTAGTTTGGCACATGTGGCCCTGGGTGATCTGGCTCCTTTTCCAGCCTCAGCTTTCATCTCCTGCTCACTCGTTCTTTGCATACCAGCTGTGCAGAATTTCTTGCCTTTCTCCCAAAGAACCATGTTTTCCTTCGCCTCTAGAGATTCCCACACTAGGCTCCTTCTCCCTGATGGCTCTCTCTCCCAAACTATTTCTACTCATTTCCAGTTTCTACTCATTGTTTGGGGTTCACCTTTTACCTCCTCTAGGAAGTCCTCCTGGATTCTGCAAGGCTGGATTAAATGTCCATTGATTGTTCCCATAGCACTTGTTCTCTGTGTGCCTGGTCTGTTTTCTTTTCTTTTTTTTTTTTTTTAAAGAGAGAGGGAGAGAGGGAGAAAGAATTTTTAATATTTATTTTTTAGTTCTCGGCGGACACAACATCTTTGTTTGTATGTGGTGCTGAGGATCGAACCTGGGCCGCTCGCATGCTAGGCGAGCGCGCTACCGCTTGAACCAAATCCCCAGCCCAGCCTGGTCTGTTTTCTGACTTCTGTTTGCATGTGTGTCTCCCCTACTACATTGACTGTAAGCTGCCTGAGGCCAGGCCTCTCTGTGTCTCATGTGGCTTTACTCAAAGCTTGGCACTGAATGGATTTCCTCCATCTCACTGCCTGATTTGCTGACTTCACTTGACTGCTTGCTGAAGACCCTTGGGGTCTGATTCTCTCCCTAGCTGTTTATGTTTATGGTCATCTATAGGTCAAAACCTTCTAGTTCAGACCCTCACACCTTGAAGTCCTTCGTTCATCTACCACATTTGATATCTCCTCTTAGGTGTCATTTTGGCATCTAAAGCTCATCCCTTCAAAACAACTCTTGAGGAACTGGGTTTGGAGATTCATGCCTGTAATCTCCAGCTACTCAGGAGGGTGAGGCAGTCAGATTGCAAGTTCAAGGCCAACCTGAGCAAATTAGTAAGACTCTGTTTCAAAATAAAACTATAAAAGGCCTGGGAATGTGGTTCAAATGTAGAGCACTTGTCTAGCAGGCATGAGGCCCTAGGTTCAACCTGCAGCACTGCAAAAAACAAAAATGAAAGGAGGAGAAGGAGGAGAACAAGAAGAACAAGGAGAAGGAAGGACAAAGAGTTGAAGAAGAAGAATAGTAGTGATGAAGAAGAAGGGGGCAAACTCTTGAGACCTCTCACCCCTCCACCTCCCCTTGTCTTCCCCCAGTATTCCCTCTCCCCCCAAATGGTGCCACCATTCACCCAATTGCCAAAGCCAGAAACCTGGGTGTTAAATTCTCCTTCTCCCTCTCAGCAGGGACCCCCTCTTTCTCACCATCAGCAAGTCCTATTGGCTCTACCTCCAGAACAGAGTCACTCAGGTTATTAACTCTCTCTTCCTTTTCTACCATCTCAACTTAGTCAAGAGTCTGACACACAGAAGGCATTTAATAAAAAGGTTTTGAACTAATAAAAAGATAATTTTCCCCTTGCAGACTTGTCCTCATTCTAAACTGTTCTACACTCAAACAACCAGAGTGATTGTTAATAAAGGTAAATCAGATCACGTCTCTCTACACTTAGCCTTCAATGACCTGACTGACTCCCACCTCCTTACCAAGCTGGTGAGGCCCTGTGTAATCTGGTCTCCGCCCACTTCTCTGTACTCAGCTCTCACCCAGACTGCTCTCATCACAACTCCCAGGCTGCCCAAGCCCCCATCTCCTCCTTCCAGTGAAGGTCTTTGTGCCTGAAGTTCCCCTGGCTGGATGCTTGTCTCCTGAGTCTGGGAGTGACCTGCTCACTATTAACCCTGCTGAGAGCACTTTAAACATCATTGTCTTGTGAATAGCATTGTCACTATTTTCATTCAGTGTTTGTTTGTATTGGCTACTGCCCCACTAGACCACGAGCTTTATGAAGTCAGGGGACCTTGTTTATTTTGTTGCTAGTCATATCCCTGACTCTTAGCATGGTAGCTAGGCACATGGGGGGCACACAGTGTGCTATGTCTGAATGATTGTGTCCTTTGAGAATACATGTGTTGAATGCATGTGGGCCTTTGGGGAGGGGAAGAGGCTCTTCCCTCAGGAAGGGATTAGTGCCTTTATGAAGTAGGGCCCAGGATGCTCTGTGGCCCCTTCTAACATGTGAAGATGCAACACATGGCAGCATCTGTGAGGACTGGGCCCTCACCAGACTCTTGATCATGGACTTTCTCAGAACTATGAGAAATAAATCTCTCTTGTTATAAGTCACCCAATATATGAGATCTTTGTTCCAGTGAGCTGAATGGACTAAAACAACAAATACTATGAAACTGAACCTTGCAACTATTTATTTCAATTCTATCCTTTTTTTTTTTTTTTCGGGTATCTTTGCCTTTACTTCCCCATGAATCTATCCTATTTTTTAATAATTATCTTTTATTTGTAGCTGGACACAATACCTTTATTTTATTTATTTTTATGTGGTGCTGAGGATCGAACCCAGGGCCTCCCACATGCTAGGCCAGCACTAAACAGCTGAGCCACAACCCCAGCCCCCAATTCTATCCTATTTTATAGGCTATATGGATAAATGTTAATGTACTCCTTGAAGTACCTGGGACTAATCTTGAACATTGTTACACCTTTGTCAGGGGACTGAAAAGTCTTCCTAACTGACTTAACATCTGGGGGTTGATAGAAAATGAAGAAGCTATTTGTTTGGGTTCCACTCCATACAGAATGCTTGGCGGGGCAGCCCCTGCTTATTTTATTTTATTTTTTATTTTTAAAGAGAGAGGAGAGAGAGACAGAATTTTTTAATATTCATTTTTTAGTTTTTGGCGGACACACCATCTTTGTTTGTATGTGGTGCTGAGGATCCAACCCGGGCCACACGCATGCCAGGCAAGCGCGCTACCACTTGAGCCACATTCCCCAGCCCCAGCAGCCCCTGCTTATAATGCTCAGCTTTGAATTATTTTCAAAATGTGTTCCAACAGTCCTGAGGACCTAGAGGTCATGGGGAAGAGGAGGAGGTTAATGTCAAGGGCTAATCCGTTTAGCCTATACCTTACTTCAAGTCCTTGATTAATTTACCCTCCTTTGTCAGAAAACCAAAGACACTTGTTCATAGCTTTGGTAAGCAAGAACCAGTAGAGGATGTTTTGTTCATTAACACTGGGGTTAGTTTCCTGATATGCATGCAAAGTTTGTTGTTTGAAATTGTTCCATTGATCGGTTTGGCTACTGTTAGTGATATACAATAGACGTTATGTGATATAGAAGACATTTACTATAATGGAATAACATTGCACATATTATAGTATGTCCCATCATATAGTCAAAGAACAAACACACACACACACACACAAACAACATAAAAGACAGATCTTCTTTTTTAAAAAATATTTTTTAGTTGTTGATGGACCTTTTTTTTATTTATGTGTATGTGGTGCTGAGAATTGAACCCAGTGCCTCACACATGCTAGGCAAGTGCTCTACCACTGGGCCACTACCCCAACTCCAAAATCTAACAGAGATATTTAAGGTTGAATGGACAGTAACTTTTATTTAAAATAATAAATTAATTGGGATCCCTGTTCTGTCACTTTCCAAAAGGCAAAATGTGTTCCAAGAGATGATTTAGAAGTCATTGCTAAGAATTGTGATAAATTGCCCAGCTTCTTGCTTACTATAGCAAGAATATTTTTGTCTATAAGCCTTTAGTTTATTTTCTTTTGGTGCTAAAGATTGAACCCGGGGCCACACACTCTACCACCAAGCTACACCCCCAGTCTCCCAAGTTCCTCTTATTTTGGAGGAATATGCCCTGGGGCACTTGCTTTCTCCTAACAAATATTCTGTCTCCAATCTGTGACAAAAAAAAAAAAAAGGCATCCTGGAAGGAAGAGGGCCCTCTGAAGTTTTGTGGAATTCAAATATCCATCACCAAATCTTTAGTTAACAAACGACTTTATCCGTTTTCTTGGTGTCATTTAAACCAATGACTTAAACATTAAACATTTATGGGAAAGAAGAGATGGGAGAGAAAAGTGACTTCAGGGGCTAATGTCTTGGAACACCCCACCCCAGTAGGATAGAAACACAGCCACCTGTACGTAGTGACGTTCCCATCAATGACGAGCCACATGTACAATAATGGTCCCATAAGAGTATAATGGAACTGAAAAATTCCTATCACCTAATGACACCACAGCTGTCACAGTGTAGTAGCACAATTGCTCACGTGTGTGGTGATGCTGGTGTAAATAAACTATTGTACTGCCAGTAGTATAAAAGTTCAGCACAGGGGCTGGGGTTGTGGCTCAGGGGTAGATTGATCGCCTAGCATGCGTGAGGCACTGGGTTCGATCCTCAGCACTACGTGAAAATAAAATAAAGATATCATGTCCACCTACAACTAAAAAATAAATATATATTTTTAAAAAAAGTACAGGACATAATGTACACCTTTGATAATGATAGTAAATGACTGTTACTGGTTTATGAATTTACTGTACTATACTTTCTATTCTTATTTTAGAGGATACTCCTTGTAGTTATATGAAAGAAATTACCATACAACAGCATGCCATGTTACATTTCGAGTTTACCATTCTCTGGATCCCATCAAGAGGCTACACAGAGGGCTTGTGGCCATCTAGGTTTGTGGAAGTGCCCTCCATGATGTTCACACAAAGGCAAAATTGACTAGGGTTCGTTTTCACCATGTGCTTTTGTCTATAAGTGACACATGGATGTAGTTCCAGGTAAAGGTTCAAAGGTCCTCATTCCACTGCAGTTCTGCTGCCCACCACAAATTACCCTCCCACCCTGCAAAGGAGAGAATTTTCCCTGGATAATGGAGACATGGGAATGAAAAGTGATCATATATACAACAATATTCTGGTTTGGTTTTCTTTTGTTGTTTTGTTTGTTACTAGGATTTGAACCCAGTAGTGCTTTAGCACTAAGCTATATACCCAGCTCCCCCCCACCACTTTGTGTGTGTGTGTGTGTGTGTGTGTGTGTGTGCGCGCACCAGGGATTGAAATCAGGGGCACTCAAGCACTGAACCACATCCTTAGCCCTTTTTATTTTTTATTTACAGACACGGTCTTACTAAGTTGCTGAGGCTGGTCTTGAAATTGTGATCCTCCTGCCTCAGCCTCATGAGTTGATAGGATTATGGGCATGCACTCTTGCTCTTGGTCTTGATTTTCTTTCTTTCTTTCTTTTTTTTTCTTTCTTTCTTTCTTTTCTTTTCTTTTTTTTTTTCTTTTTCTTTTTTTTTTTTTTTTTGTGTGTGTGGTACTGGGGATCCAACCCAGACCTCATACTTGCTAGACAAGCACTTTACCACTGAGTTACATTCCCAGCCCCCTTTGTTTTCTTTTAATTGAGGTATAATTTACATCAAGTAAAAATATTGAAAAATGCAGTCATGCAACCTAATCTCACAATCAAAATACAGAACAGTTCCATTATCTGCTAAAATTCTCCTGTGCTCCTTGCTAAGCAACCCCTCCTGTCACCCCAGCCCCCTGAAAACCATCACTGATATAGCTTAATAGTTTTACCTATTTCAGAATGATAAATTTCTTTTCTTTTGTTCCTCCATGCTGGGAATTGACCCAGGGCCTTATGCATGCTAGACACATACTCTACCACTGACCTGTATCACCTGCCAAAAAAAGTTTTAATAGTAGTACTACTAATAACCATGGTACTGAGTATTTGCTGGGTCCAAGGTGTTATGCTAAGCCCTGTATCATGCCACAGAAAACTCCCAACAGCCCAATGAAGAGGAAGAAACTGAAGTTAGGTGAGGCTAAGTAACTGTTATGCCCAATATTATTTAGCCAGTAGGTGACAGAAGCGGGAGCTGAGCCCAAGTCTTTCTGATGCCAAAGTACGTGCTCTTCACCACAGCACTGCTGCCTTAGATTAGGAACATAATGAAGGACTTTAGAATGTGAAGGGCCCTTAGAAATTACTTCATCACATGACCTCAAACCACTCCTTTTGATCAACCACAGCATAGCTACCGTTAGCTCCAAGTTATGTAAGTGCCTTGCTCACTCCAGTTTGTAGAATAGTGAGTTGGAGAACCCTGGCTTGAGAATTCCTTAGGTGGACTGAGACCCTTATGTGGTTTGCACTGTCTGAAGTTGCCGTGCACTTGACCCTGAAGGGAATTCAAGGGCTAATGAAGAGCAGTGTCTGTGAAGTAGGCACTTGGGTGTTTAGAGCACTCAGGTGCTCTTTCTAGGGGTGAGTTGGATAAGTGCCACCAAAGCTGTCATATAACTTTCCAAAGTCCAGCTGTCACTTTCAACTGCCAGTGCTGAGCCTCGTGCTCCTGGCATTCCAGTCTGGGCTTGGTAGGGATGGCAGTGCCTGGTACAGACTGTCTGCTGGCTGAAGATACCATGGCCTTATTACCCTCTTCTCTTCCGTCACTGCCAGTGGCTTATGTTACCTTGAACAAGTCTCTCAAGGATCAGAACTGTTTAAGCTTTAAGTGCATTGATTAAAAGAAGTAAGTAAATAGGAATTATAATATATGAACAAAGACCCTGTGTTTTTAGAAATACTTTCTTCTAGGCCACAATTCGCTCCCATGCCAACCACTTTTGGTGAAATTTATAGGCCAAATGCTGCAGCAATTCAAGAGAATGGGAGGAAATTTGCTTTGAAATAGGAGGAGAAACTGACCTGGCTGGTTTGGTAACAGGTCCAAAGAACACAGTGTCCCTTGGATACTGATAGCTTCTGGAATGTCTGTTCTCATAGGTCAGGCCGACCCTCTGGCCAGTTGACTCATGGCAA